ACCCTAAACCCCTAAATGCTAAATCCCAAACATCTGCAACTTGATGCAAAGAAGGCAAGAAGCTTCGAGGGCCCAATTTTGGTGCTCTGCCCTGGTAAGGGTATCAGGATTGTCTGATAAACACCTTTTTGGAACTCCGTTTTTTTGACCTTCTGGCTCTAGAAAACCTAAAATTCTTTAGTTTTCGGACGACTTCTGCTGGCGTCTAGGAGGAATTTGGGGCTGTGGCGTTTCGGCTCTTGTGGATCAGGCTTGTCCTGTGGCTCTTGCAGGAACCTGGAGCTATGGGTTTAGGGTTCAGGGTTTAGGGGCTATCGATGCGGCATGTGGGCAAAGGGGGGCGGGTCTAGAGGGATCCCTGCCTTCCTTGATCTCACCATCCTCGCCAAACTTGGAGGAGCAGGTGAAGTCCACGGGGAGGATGATCTCCACACCTGCGCAGTCCCCCGGCAAACCTGAACGAACGGCTCGGACTCTACCATGATACCCTTCTACATGACTGTGAAACTTCGCACCCCGTCGCCCAACTTTAGCTGCCCAAGCAACATGGTAGAGACCATGACTCAAAGAGCAACTTTTCAAGCATTGGCCTCCGAAAAGACATGTGGGCTACAAATTACCGCCAATGAGCTACCGAAGCATGGGGTTTAGGGTTTCAGATAGGGTTTAGGGCATTGTGGAATTTCTGAATGAGCCCCGACCTTCGTGGAAGGTTACCTACACCACCGAAGACAGAAAGTACTCCCGAACCCTAAACCCCTTAAACCCCTGAANNAACCCCTGAAGCCCTAAACCCCCAAAACCCCCCCTAAACTTCTAAACCCCAATTCTTTCAAGCACTCCTGAACCCTAAACCCCAAACCCCCAGTTCTTTCAAGTACTGAAGCTGTCGCCGAGATACCGAGCTTCTCCGCCTTGGCCAGGATCTCAGGGACGATCTTGGCGCCTTCGCACATCGTCGAAGACATTTCAACGGGTCTGGGGCGTAGGGTCAGGTAGGGCTTTGGGTTAGGATTGAGGGTTTTGAGTTTAGAGGTTCAGAGGTTTAGGGGTTTAGACTTTCGGGTCAAGACATACCCCGAAAGACAACGGACGACCATAGGCACACCAACAGCACGGCATGGAGGCGACAGCAACTAATGTAGGGACTTAGAATAGGGTTTTGGGGGATCTTATACTACAACGATAATGAAGAACCACCCCCCAAATAGTATAGGTAATTATTTAGGCCCCTATATTACCATGAAAGGCCATCGAGCAGAACAAGGCATGCCTTCTCAGTTGACGATGCGGCATATCATTCAAGGATTTTGCGGTGCGCGACAAATCGCACTGCTAGCTCAAAACGACACGCTGTGCCATCCTGCATAACTACACTGCCCTGCTGGATGCCAAATTGCACCAGGTATGCGGTATCAGCAAGATATACCTGCCATGCTTCCTGCCATCGCGTTGAACAACCGTCGTGCTTGCTACGGCAAGGGTCGTTCAAAATAGCTGTGGACCATCGGCCCCTCAAAGCCGAAAGTGTTGAAGGCCCCCACTCCTCGCTCCCGATGTCCCCAACGAACCCACAAACGCCTGAAGCTCAACGCCAAGCCCAAAAACCCTAAAATCCTAAAACCCTAAACCCTAAAACCCTAAACCCTAAGCTACTCACGCCTTCCTTTGTTGACGCCTCTTTGCTTTAAGGTACCATCGAGACGAAGCCGGGCCTTCCTCATCGTAGAGGGAGGTTCCGATGGACATGCTGTCCTTGATCTTCAGGAAAGTGTAAGCCATGCCGCCACCGATGATCATCTTGTTCACCTCTTGTGGT